CAACATGACACAGTACCACATAGGAGTACTTACCCCAGGGAAATTTGCAAACACCACAGATCAGATCTCTGCCTGCTGCTCCCTAATTCAGGCTAGTTGTTAAACATTTTTTTACCAGCACACTTGTGATGACATGACCCTTCAAGTTGACTGACTTCTGTCAGCAGTAATGAATAATCGAGGCATCAGTTAGATGGAGAGTTTACCTTTGTGAGACACTTAACTCTCAAAAAGAAATATTTTTGTTACAGAATAAAGCTTGTAACACCTAGTTTTCTTGGTGTTCATTGTTTTCCTTACTTCCAAATTCTCTAAGGTAGAGAAAGGCAAAGTCTGACTACTGGATAAGGGGGGATACTAATACAGTAGTTCTGTGGTCTCAAGTAAAAGCATAAAATGTTACATTTGAAGTAGAACTAGAAAGGATGCTAAACAAAACTGTGCTGGGCAAAAAAAAAAAAAAAAAAAAAAAAGGAAAGGCAAATAGCTCTATCTAACCAAAATTCTATTCATGTGAGGGAGCAAAAGACGATACAAGAGGAGAGTTTTTTCTAACGCCCAAATCAGCTTTTTAATGGATGAAGCTCTTTTTGTCCAGAGTTACTGAAGCTTCTGGATGTTGTTAGGAATTTAAGTTCCCAGAGAGATTCAGTAAAATACTATAGCAGTCCAGAGAAAGCCAAATAAACTTGCAGGGAGAGGGAGGGAAGGGAAATTCTTAGTATAAAAGATAAATCTACGCTAAGGTTGAATGGCTGTTATAATTAAATTTTTTAAAAACTGGGAGAAACTGACTAAATATTTTATATGGAATATAAACTGTCTTATACTTTAGGGTCTAAATGAAAGGCATATACATTTAAAATGTAAAAGAAAGAAATGTATCATATCACTTTCTTCTTTCTTTTTTGAGACAGCGTCTCACTCTGTCACCTAGGCTGGAGTGCAGTGGCGCCATCATGGCTCACTGCAGCCTCAACCTACCAGGCTCTAGTGATCCTCCCACCTCAGCCACCCCCACCAAGGAGCCGGGACTACAGGCACTTGCCACCACACCCAGCTAATTTTTTTTTTATCTTTTGTAGAAACAGGGTTTCACCATATTGCCCAGGCTTGTCTTGAACTCCTGGGATCAAGCAATCTGCCTGCCTCGGCTTCCCAAAGTGCCACGATTACAGTGTGAGTTACCGCACCTGGCCTCATATGATTTTGAATAAGGCATTTGCTTTATGCTTTACAAGGTGCTAGTAGTAAAAACTGTTTAGAGTGATGCACATAAAGAAGAGTTCCGACATAAATGTAAGACCTGAAGCTATAAAACTACTAGAAGAAAACAGGAAAACCACTTCAGGACATTGGGTCTAGGCAAAGATTTTATGGCTAAGACCTCAAAAGCACAAAAAGCAAAGACAAAAATAGCCAAATTGGATTATATTAAACTAAAAAGCTCAGCAAAGAAAACAGCAGAGTAAAGAGATAACCTGTTGTATGGAAGAAAATATTTACAAACTATTAATCCAACAAGGGACTAATGTCAAGAATATACAAGGAACTTAACAGTAAAAAAAAAAAAAACCCATTAAAAGTGGGCAAGGGATATGAATAGACATTTCTCAGAAGAAGACATAAATACCCAATAAGTATATGAAAAATGCTTAATATCACTAATCATCAGAAAGATGTAAATGAAAACCATAATAAGGTATCACCTATGACAGAGTGGTTATTACTAAAAAGACAGAAAATAACAGATGCTGGTAAGGATGCAGAAGAAAATTCTTTTACCCTGTCAGTGGGAATGTAAATTAGTACAGCCTCTATGGAAACATAGTATTTCCCAAAAAACTGAAAGAACTGCCATATGATCTGTCAATCCCACTATTGTGTATTTATTCAAAGGAAAATAAATCAGTTCAATGTAGCACTATTCACAGTAGCAAAGAACAGAATCAACCTAAGAGTCCATCAACAGATGAATGGATAAAGAAAATGTGTTACCTATATTATACTTGATGAATACTATTTGGCCATAAAAAAGAAGGAAATCATTTCCTCTGCAGAAACATGGAAGGTACTGGAGGTTATTGTGTTAAGTGAAATAAGCCAGGCACACAATGACAAATATCACATGTTCTCTCACTCGTGTGGAAGCTAAACATGTTGATCTCATGGAGGCAGAGTAGAATGATGGTTGCCAGAAGCTGGGAAAGGTGTCTGGGTGGGGGGGGATGAAGAGAGGTTGGTGAATAGGTACAAACATACGGTGAGCTATGGAACAAAGGAATGTTTAACAGCAGAGTAGGGTAACTATAGTTAGTAACAGTGAATGCTTTTTATATTTTAAAATAGCTAGGAGAGAAGACTTGAAATGTTCCCAGCACTGAGAAATGAGAAATATTCGAGGTGATGTATACACAGTCAAGTTAACAAAATAGCTCATATACCTCATAAATATGTAAACTATTATATATCATTTTTTTAAAAAAAGTATAGCAGTTTGGTACAAAAATTAGCCAGGCATGGTGGCAGGCACCTGTAGTCCCAGCTACTTGGGAGGCTGAGGCAGGAGAATTGCTTGAACCCAAGAGGCAGAGGATGCTGCAGTGAGCTGAGATCATGCCACTGCACTCCAGTCTGGGTGACAGAACAAGACTCTTAAAAAAAAAAAAAAAAGTATAGCAATTTGGTATTAAACTGGAAGGACCAAAGGAACTAACAAATAATCTTTAAACCAGTCAATGCCCTATGTAATTTGTTTACCAATAAATTGGACAGAACAGAGGGAACTTTAGTGGATATAGGTGGTTTACTTTTAAATGAGGAGGGAATACAGATTCCCCAGGAGATAACCTCTTTCTCTAAGAACATAAAGTTTTATGGAGGAGATAGAATATTCTCATATGAAAAATACCTAAGAATATATGAAACTATGTAATAGGAAGCTATTACATATATTAAGAATAACTTCGTTGTTCAGTTTTTAGTTACTGCTGAACATCTTGACAATTTAAGTAAATCACTATTTTTTCCCTAACCTTGTCCAGATTTCCAAAACTCAGTTACTCTCCTAACCAGTCTACTTAAGTGAATATACTTTTCCAGTCACCAAGACTGAGATTCAGTATATGCAGTCATCTTTATCTTTCACCCTTCCCTTTCCTTATGAGTGTCCCTTTCTACTTATTTAGGCCTTCAATGCATATTACACCTTAAATTGTATAAGTTTATACATTTTAAAAGATTTTCATCATTATATAATCACTCTGAGTTAAGCAGAAGTGATTAACATTTCATCACTCAAGTATTGAGGGCCTACAAGGTCACTACAAGGTGAGTGACATATAAATAAGGATGCAGAATCAGACAGGTTAAATGACTTGCCCAAGGTAACAGGATCAGTCATTATTACCAGTCCTATGATTCTAATGTAAACATTCTTTTCATTACACTATGATGCCTCTCAACTCATATTTGGTCCATTACTGTAAATTCATAGTGGGCTTCTCTGCCTCTGCTTTTCCTTCTCCAGACTATCTTGCAGATCACCATTAAATTAAACACAGCTTTCATTATAATATAGCACAATAAGAACTTTTCAATCATGTCCTGTTGTATAGAGGAGAAAAACTTTATCTCTGCTTTTATACAGGGTATCGCTTACTGAACTGTGATCATATTCTTTGGAACATACCTTTACTTTTCTAAGAGTATGCCTTTGCTTTTAGCAGTGTTAACCTTCTTTGAGCTTCTTTGAGGGACTCAAACCTACTTTGAGTCCCTAAGTAACAGTTATTGCCATAGACCTAGATATTTATGTACCAAGCATTATCTATAGACTACATATATGCACAACAACTACCTTGTGTATTTTGACTGAGGGAGTAAAGTTTTTGATATCAAAAAAAAAAAAAAAAAAGAGTCCTCTTTGCTGGGTGAGGTGCCTCATGCCTGTAATCACAGTGCTTTGGGATGCCAAAGCAGGAGAATCACTTGAGACCAGGAGTTTGAGACCAGCCTAGGCAACATAGTGAGACCCTGTTTCTACCAGAAAAAAACAAAACAAAACAAAAAAACGCCGGGCATGGTGGTACAAGCCTGTAATCTCAGCTACTCAAGGAGGCTGAGGTGGGAGAATCAATTGAGGCCAGGATTTCAAAGCTGCAGTGAGCTATGATGAGGCCAGTGCACTCCAGCCTGAGCAACAGAAAGTGTCTTAAAAAAAAATACAAAAAAACCCTCAAGTTTCGCTTCTGATGATTAAGAACTCAGTGGTTTTGATCATACTTCTGCTGTGAACAACTAGAAAAGCTAGACCAAAACCAAACACCCACCCCTATTTAAAGGCACTTGTTAGTGACAAGTTATATTTTCCACTATCACAACAAAGAAAAAGGCAAAACATGTGGCAGGCATCTTTAGATTTGGAGACAACAAAACACAGTACAATTGGGTAAGCTGTTCTCAGAGGCTTAACTGTAACTATAAGACTACCAGTTTTGGCCAGGCATGGTGGCTCACGCCTGTAATCCCAGCACTTTGGGAGGTCAAGGTGGGCGGATCAACTGAAGTCAGGAGTTCAAGGCCAGCCTGTCCAACGTGGTGAAATTCCGTCTCTACTAAAAATAAAAAAAATAGCTGGAAGTGGTGGTGCATGCTTGTAATCCCAGCTACTCAGGAGGCTGAGGCAGGAGAAGCGCTTGAACCTGGGAGGCAGAGGTTGCAGTGAGCTGATATCTTGCCACTGCATTCCAGTGTGGGCAACAGAGTGAGACTCCGTCTCAAAAAAAATTACCAGTTTTGAGTGGGGTAGGGCTCAGACTTAGGCTTTATGATCCTGTAGACTCAATGGTATTGGAAGTTAATATAGGAGAGATGTTATATGAAGCCTCTGGCAAGTTTCAGTACAAGAATTATAACATAGACCTTAATTTAAGGTTTAGGAGTAAGACCGTATCTTCCTTAGCCATGGTTTTGATTCATTTTGTTTTTTCTTTGAAAAGTACCCCTTGATTTGCTACTGGTACCTGGAAGAGATGTAACACCCGACCATGGGACATCAAGTGACTGTGTGAATCAAACTGCCCATCATGAATTGTTGTTATTTGACTCAACCAAACTGTACAACTGGATGAGCACAGGAGCAGTGCACTACATATGGGACTGGAACCATGAATGAGCAGGTGACTCAGACTCCTATAGTACCTGCCTCTAATCCTTCAGTACTTCTCCCTCAACCCACATAAACTGTCATCATAAGGAGTTCCCTCTGATCAGTTAATGAAGAGAAAAAAGTATGGATATTGTGGATATCCAAACATCTCTCTGGCCATTGGACCCCTAGAAACCTGTGACAAGTCCTGGAAGTTTTTCAAGGTTCATCTTGTACCTTCTAGCATGCGTATGTCTTACCAAAGCATGTAGAATGCTGCCTACTTCTGCTCATCAGTTTCATTTAATATAATTTCATTACTCTAATAAATCAGTGTGATGTTCTATGGAATAGCAAGACCATCAAGGTCCCTTCATACAGTATAGAGAACAGGAGAGTTGATGTAGCCTGAGACAAGACAGTAAGGACTTACTGTTGTTCCTCCTATTTAAATGTAGTCTGTTTCTGATTCTCCTTATAATTAGAATTGGGGTGGGGGGACATTTCCAGATCAATATCAGTATCATGTCAACATGTATATTAATTTCTTCCAAAGAAGATACCACACCTAGAACAGCAACCATAATTGGCATCCCTACCTAATTAAAGTTTGCAGTCCACTGTCATTCTTCACTAGCCATCTGGTTTTTATACTTTCATTCTCTATGATGCATCTGGTGGCCACAGGAAATTTAAATGGGAATGTGGTATGAATCACCATGGCAGCATGGTGGCACTAATCTCTACAATTTCTTTTGGTTTTTCTATTTTGCTTTTTATGTTTTGTAGAAATGGAGTCTTGCCATGTTATATAGGCTGGTCTCAAACTCCTGGGGTCAAGTAATCCTCCTGCCTTGGCCTCCCTAAGTACTGGCGTTACAGGCATGAGCCACTGTGCTTGGCCAATCTCTGCCATTTCTTCAGGGTATATCCCTGCTTTTCCTTCACTATCTTAATGAGGAGTGGTAGAAGGCAGACCTAAGCTGCTGTGTAGCGCTTTCCACCATAATAGCAATCCCTCCATGGATCAGGAAACCAAAATAAAAGATTGTTATTAAAAGATATATATCACTACTACACATCTAGGACTTGAGAAGTAACCACAGTATGGGTCCTTCTGGATCCACTGTCAGCCACAGCCAGGCCAAGATTCCATCACTTGACTTCCGTAGGTCCCCTATTCTGACTAGTCGTCCAAGGTAGAGTTTTGGGTTTCTAGTATTAGTACAAGTTAAGAGACAGTGCCTTAAGAATTTTAGCCAGCCTGGCCAAGATGCCGAAACCCCATCTCTACCAAAAACACAGAAAACTAACTGGGAGTGGTGGTGCACGCCTGTAGTCCCAGCTATTCGGGAGGCAGAGGTTGCAGTGAGCTGAGATTATGCCACTGCAGTCCAGCCTGGGTGACAACAGAGCAAGACCTTGTCTCAAAAAAAAAAAAAAAAAGAAAGAAAGAATTTTGGATATTTACCTTTCTCTAGTGAATGGTCACTGGTCCCTATGGAAAAGGTTTAGAGCAATGATTCTCCCAATATGTCTGCTCACTGGAAGTATCTGGGGAACTTGAAAAAATACTGCCTGGGTCTTCCCCAAGATTATTATTTAATTAGTCTTGGTTGTTGCCTGGGCTTTAGAATCCTAAGGTGTTCTAATGTGCAGACAAGTTTGGGAACCCCACTGGATTAGGGAACAATTCATGGTATACAGCTGTGATTGCATTGCCCCTTTCATCAAAGGATCCAGTCTCTTTCCATCAGTGAAGGAGTACCAAGTCTGGGAGCTAGATGAGATGCTTCAAATTTTACTACAAAAACACAAGAATTTTTCCACCTATATATGTCAAGCAGCACCTTGGTAGGTTACTTAACGTATTTTATTTCCAGGGACCTCATGATCATTTAGCCATTATCACTTTTCCCTGTGGGTCAAAATACTCTGGTTAACGTTCTCTCCTCTGACTTATTTTGGTAATTGTGCCTACTTTGTCTCTGAGAGATATATATGTGTGTGTGTGTATATATGTATATGTGTGTGTGTGTGTGTGTGTATATATATGTGGTTTTTTTTTTTTTTGAGACAGAGTCTTGCTCTGTTGCCCAGGCTGGAGTGCAGTGGCATGATCCCAGCTCACTGCAACCTCCACCTCCCAGGCTCAAGCCATTCTCTTGCCTCAGCCTCCTGAGTAGCTGAGACCACAGGCATGCATTACCACACCCAGCTAATTTTTGTATTTTTACTAGAGATGAAGTTTCACCATGTTGGTCAGGCTGGTCTCGAACTCCTGGCCTCAAGTGATCTGCCTCCGTCGGCCTCCCAAAGTGCTGGGATTACAGACGTCAGCCACTGTGTCCAGCCTGTGTCTGATATTTATATGCTATTATGTGTCCTCTATTGCCTTGGGATTCTAATGTTCCCACTAAGATCAGCAAACCCAGTTCCACTACAGTGTTCACCACCATCATCTCTTGACAACAAAGACAGCTACTTTAGAGCTCCTTGTGAAATGGTAGTGCTTCCATCATCATTGCATTCCTTAATGACATGGTGAAAATTAACAATGGCTAAGGAGCCTTTGTGTTTTCTCCTCTACAATATGCCCAGGAATTTCTGGCATTTTGGCCATCTTATTTATAGGCTATTACTGAATTTAAGCCTTATCCTACCAAATTATTAATGCCAAAATATTAACTCTTGATTCTTAGGTAAGTGCACCCATGCCAATAAATTTGCCATGATCTAACCTTAAATGTATTCCCATATATGCTGTCCAAGTTCCCACTGATTAAAATGGCAAGGCCTTTAGTTCTCCTAGGTAGGCTTTCTGTGTCCAGAGAAGGCCTCATACTTCTCTGACTAGGCTATGTTGGGATATAACTGGAGGCACTAATAGGTAGTAAGGGTAAATTCTTTATTATTACTTTTTGGAGACAGGGAGGGTGTCGCTTTGTTGTTCAGACTGGAGTGCAATGGTGTGATCATGGCTCATTGCAACTTTGAACGCCTGGGCTCAAGTGATCTTCCCACCTCAACCTTCTGAGTAGCTGGGACTACAGGGACAAACCACCATGCATGGCTAATTAAAAAAACTTTTTTTTTTTTTTTTTTTTTTTTTTTTTTTAGAGACAGAGCCTTGCTGTGTTGCCTAGGCTAGTCTTGAACTCCTGGGCTCAAGCAGTCTTCCCACCTCAGCCTCCCAAAGGCTGGGATTACAGGCCTGAGCTACTGTACCTCGCCCCAGCTGGTAAGTTCTGAGGAGAACATGTATCAGCTTGTGAAGGAGCTTGCGCAAGTGCAATCACTGGAAGCCTCTATGCATAGGAGGCTGGTTTCCTCAGAAAGAGATTTAGGGGAAGATGGATGTTCAGAGTTTTCAGCTTCATTTTTCTCTGCTCAAACATCCCTATCCTATGTCTTAGGACCCCACTCTCCCCACCAATGTTCCAACGTTAGAATAGGAAAGGGGAAGAATTAAGCATGTAATTGATACTACAAATCTACCATATCTGCCCAGTGATTATAGAAGATAATCAATTCCTTCAGACCTGTAGTGGAGTTTTGATGCTCCACATAGAGTCGTTTTCTTTTTGTTGTTGTTGTTGTTTGTGGGTTCAAGTGATTCTCATGCCTCAGCTTCCCAAGTAGCTAGGACTACAGGCATGCACCACCACACTAAGCTAATTTGTGTATTTTTTCGTAGAGATGGGGTTTTACCATGTTAACTAGGCTGGTCTTGAACTCCTGGCCTCAAGTGATCCACCCACCTCAGCCTCCCAAAGTGCTGGGATTACAGGTGTGAGCCACTGCACCTGGTCACAACATACAGTCTTCATTGTAGTTTTTATGTTTTTCTTATGTATTTTTCTTTTCTTTTTCTTAGAGATAGGGTCCCCCTCTATCACCCAGGCTTTAGTGCAGTGGCATGATCATAGCTCACTGCAGCCTCAAACTCTTGGGCTTAGACAACCCTCCTGCCTCAGCTTCCTGAGTTGCTGGGACAATAGGTGTGTGCTACCATGCCCAGCTAATTAAAAAAAATTTTTTTAGAGATGGGGTTTTGCAATGTTGCCTAGGTTCGTCTCAAACTCTTGGCCTCAAGAGATCCTCCCACTGCAGCCTCCCAGATAGGGGACTACAGGTATGAGCCACCATGCCCCTTAACCCACTTATGCCTAGTGCTCCATTATTGGAATGCTAAGCATGTGGGAATTATTTATAGCCTACTGCTCAAGGTCATCGCCAAGGTCTGAGTTTTCACTCATGCAAAAATTCAAAAAATTGCAATCTCTGACATAAATGGGTTAAGTACTTTCTGTTTCGGACCATAAGAAAAGCCAGATGGATCTATAATCTTTATAATTACTATGGTTACCATGGTGATACACTCCTTACCCGCTTCACTTAATTTCATGTTGTTACTGTTAATCATAATACTACTGCAAACTGGCTGGGTGCAGTGACTCCTTCCTGTAATCCCAGCACTTTGGGAGGCAAAGGCAGGAGGATCACTGGAGCTCAGGAGTTCAAGACCAGCCTAAGCAATATAGTGAGACTGTCTCTACAAAAAAATAAAAACAGGCCGAGCACGGTGGCTCACACCTGTAATCTCAGCACTTTGGGAGGCTGAGGCGGGTAGATTACCTGAGGTCAGGAGTTCAAGACCAGCCTGGCCAACATGGTAAAACTCTGTCTCTACTAAAAATACAAAAATTAGCTGGGCGTGGTGGCGGGTGCCTATAATCCCAGTTACTGGGGAGGCTGAGACAGGAGAATCGCATGAACCCGGGAGGCGGAGGATGCAGTGAGCCAAGATCACACCATTGCACTGAAGCCTGGGTGACAAGAGCAAAACTCCATCTTATAAATAAATAAATAAAATATAAATTGGCTGGGTATGGTAGTGCACACCTATAGCCCCAGCTACCCAGGAGGCTGAGGCAGGAGGATTGCTTGAGCCTAAGAGGTTGAAGCTGCAGTGAGCTATGGTCACACAAAAAAACTAAACTAAATACTGTAAGCCATGGATTACCTGTAGTCTGTAGTCTCTTTGCTTATAGCAACGAGGTTATTCCTCTGATTGATTTTATGTGTGCGTGTGTGTGTGTGTGTGTGTGTGTATCCAATCCAATCTCAAAATCTTACTTGAGGGTCCATTTCCTGTAATAATTTCTGTTGCACATTACCATATCTTTAGAGTCTTAAGAGGAAATAGAGGACAGATTAAAAATAATTTAAGAAGGCTGGGCATGGTGGCTCATGCATGTAATCCCAGCACTTTGAGAAGCTGAGGCAAGCCCAGGAGTTTGAGACTAGCTGGGACAACATGGCAAAACCCCATTTCTACAAAAAGTACAAAAAAACTAGCTGGGTGTGGTGGCACACATCTGTAGTCCCAGCTACTTGGGACGCTAAGGTAGGAGGATCACCTGACCCCAGGAGGTTGAGGCTGCAGTGAGCCCTGGTTGTGCCACTACACTGCAGCTTGGGTGACAGAGAGAAACCCCGTCTCAAAAAAAAAAAAAAAAAAAAAGGAAAGAAACTGTTACAATGTATTACATTACTAATTCTGTTTATCAAGGCACCATTACAAAAAGACAAACCAAATTGTAAGAAAAGATACTGGCCACAT